TTTTCGCAACTGATCAGAAAACCCGGAGCTTCCCAGCGCCGGGAAGAGGCGGATAAGGCGCCCTGCATCTTTAAGGCCGCGCTCGGCGGCGGCGCAGGGAGGCAGGGCCGGCTCGCAGCAGCAGCAGCAGCAGCAGCCGCCGCAGCGGCGACTCAGCCCACCCTGAGCCGGGCTCAGCTAGCCGAGGTGGAGGATGGGGAGAGAATGGAACTGTCCCAGCGCCTCAATGAGATCAGGGCAAACTATGAAAAGCTCCTCAGCAGCAATCAGATAGAGACGGTGCTGGCTACGAGGATGCAGGTAATGATTCCTAGAGGCAGGCAGCTCCCAGGATAAAGAGGCAGCCGCCCCCGGCGCCCGCCCGGCCTCCCCGAGGTACGGTATCTCCCTTTCAATGCGGACACACCGGGCAGGAACCGAGGTCCCGGCGGCGCCCCAGCGAGCGGGGTGGGACGACCGGAGCCGCGGGGAGCTGCGGCCCTGCACGGGGGGCGGGCGCGGAGGTGGGGGTCAGGAGCCGCGCGCGTGGGGGCGTAAACGATGAAGTGGTGAACCCCAACCCGCCTCGGCGTGCCTGGGGGAGCAGGCGTCTCCGATACCCTTCACGGCCAGCGGGAAGTTCCTGCACCATCCACTCAGATCCCGTGTTTTTAATGCAAGCCGTAGGGTAAGATTTCTCGCTGGGCACGTTCTGGAGACACAGCAAATATTTCCAAGAGGTTCCTTGTTGGCTTTTTAATGAGTTCGGTTTTATAGACTGTTATAAATAGCAGTCATCTGGGGGGTGGAAGAGGCCTTCAGAACTAATAACGTAAATTATAACAGTCGGATTACCCAAATTAGCAAGGATTCGGTCTCCAGCTTTTGCTCTACGAGAAATGTTTATGTTCCATAAAACCTTGCAGTATGTAAGCATTTAAAAAGAGAGCGAACCAACTTAAAAGCTAAATTTCATATATTTAGATTTAAAGTGACAATCACCTAATTTAGAAACTCATTCTGGTATCGAGTCTTTCGACAAATTTAAAAACAAATACTTTAGAAATAGATTCAGAAACGGAGGGGTTCAGTCTGGGTTCTGTTGGGTGTTGTGTTGTGTCTAGCTTGCCTAGTGTTCTAGATACTCTACAGTGTATGAGTTCTATTCCAGGGACCCAAATTCAGTTGTTTTGTTTTGTTTTGTTTTTGTTTTTTAAAGTTTACTTTGAAAAATCACCAAAGAGAGGGGCTGAGGAGGTGGCTCATTAGAATAAGTGCTTGCCTGTCAAGTGCAAGGGCCTGAGTTCAATCTCCGGTTCTGCAAAAAAAAAAAGAAAAGAAAAAGAAACCAAAATACTGCTAGGAAATCACAGGCTTCTATTCTACTAGTAACTGATGTCAGTGACATCATCAATTCTACCCCTGGGTACCATTTTCAGGTTTCATAAACAATGCCTGGACCCCTAACTTTAGCAAAGTCACTGGGGCTTTTGACTTAAGCATTGGTATAGTCTGCTCATCTTTTATAGTGAGGAGGGGGACATTTAATAGGTGACAATTCTGAAAACTATAAAACCAAATAAACTCTTTGGCTATCACAGAAACTCAGATGTTGCAAAATTCAATTTCAAAATTCAATAATGAAATGAGTAAATTCAAATGAAAAAAGTAAGACTACAGAGTAACTGGCTTAGGGCACCTTGAAGCATAAAACTACTTCAGAGAATCTTTTTCATCAATCCTTTAGAAAATCACGAGACATATTCAAGAAAGCCTGTTCTTTTAGTTATCAGAAAAGTGCTTGCCAGTTGTGGTGGTCTGTCATCCCAGCACTCAGGAGGCTGAGGCAGGAGGATCATTACGAGTTCCGAGACCAGCTTGAGTTACAAAGAGAGCTCAGGGTGCCGGCCCCACCCCTGGGGCACACTGAGACAGCAATTGAGACTGGGCAGGGTGGCCTGCGCCTGTAATCCCAGCTCTTGGGAGGCTGTAAACAGGCGGATCACTACAAATCTGATCTAGTAGTGAGACCCTGAACACAACGTAGACCCTTCCCTAAAATACGAGAGAGAGAGAGAAAGAGAGAGAGAGAGAGAAAGAGAGAGAGAGAGAGACAGAGACAGAGAGAGACAGAGAGAGACAGAGAGAGAGAGAGCGCTTGGGGCTGGGGAGATGGCTCAGTAGAAGAAGCGCTTCCCTGGCAAGTGCAAGGACCTGAGTTCAATCCCCAGTTCCACCAAAAAAAAAAAAAAAGAAGAAGAAGAAGAAGAAAAGAAAGAAAGAAAGGTGCTCGAGGCCTTGTGGCACCACCCTCAGACCCCACCTCCACATCACAAAATAAAGCAGCAGTTTCCACACAGCACTAAGTCACCCCGGGGCCCTGTGGGCTACTGGACACTCGGGTCAGGATGAGGGCCCGCACTGACCACTACTGGCTGTTGTCTCGGGGCTCACCTGGAGCTCCCAGGATTCCTTGCAAAGGGAACCACAAATGGACAAGAATTTAGGGACCTGCATGTGGCTGGGGCCATCCTGGGAACAGGCTGTGACAGACTCACGCTGAGCTGCCGCTCCTCACCCCAAATCCAGAGGCTGAGGAGGCACCAGCAGTTGTGTGGGCAGAGTCCAAGCTCCTAGAAGCTCTCTTCTAACGCTAAGTGTGAGGCCCAGTGACCCGAGAGCCTGGGTGTTCCTCTCTGACACATTGTCCTAAACTTGGTTGGTGTACTGCTAAGGGCGCCAGGTTCCTTTCAACAAATTTTCTGGTATGATCAAATTGTTTTTAAATTTTAAAACCCACACGATAAGAACAAAGTCATTAATTTTTGCTTCAAAATGTTACCCTTAACCCATTACACTCTTCCTATGTTCTTGGGACCAAAGATTGAGAATTCTGGCAACAGATATTTTCTCATTTCTGCCATCAGCATGAAAGCACATAAAGTCAAATATAAAGGTCCCACTTATTTTTAATGTAAGCATATTTTAAAACAATCTTTAAAATAGTGCTTTTATTACAACCTCAGATACCCCAAGTAAAGATGCCTTCTAGCCGGGCGTGGTGGTGCACACCTGCCATCCCAGCAGTGAGGAGGCTGAGACAGGAGGATACCTGGAGCCCTAGACCACCCTGGGCTACATAGTGGGCTCAAGGGCAGGTTGAACTACAAAGCAAGAGTCTGGCTCAAAAATAAATGTATCATAGATACATGCTAGATCTGGAATGAGCTTTGGGAACCACTAACATCGGAGGAAACTGAGGCTGAAAACAGCTAACCAGCTCACGTACTTAATTCATCACTAACAAAGATCTAAGGGTCGGCCAAATAGCTCAGCGGTTTAAAGCGCCTGCAAGCAGGTGCAAGGGCCAGGGATTTGATCCTGGGCCTGCCTGCCAGCCCCACCCCAGGGACACGCTGAGACGGCAATTGAGACTGGACGTGGTGGAGCGTACCTATAATCCCAGCTCTTGGGAGGCTGTAAACAGGAGGATCGCTGAGTCCAATCTAGTAGTGAGACCCTGAACACCCTGTAGACCCTTCCCTAAGATACAAAAAAAAATCTAAAAATCACCTTTAGTCCAGCCATTCCAAGGTGACTTGACTCCTGCACGGCTTTTCCGAGATGGCTTTGAAACCCGTTTTCAAGAGCGCTCTCTTTCCATTTGCTGTTGTTGGTTCTCTACAGCTGGAAGAAGACATCAGCGAGAAGATGGACCGAGATGAAGAGGCTTTGAAGGCGGCGCGGGCAGAACTGAAGGAGGCGCGACGCCAGTGGCACCACCTCCAAGTGGAGATCGAGTCGCTGCACGCTGTGGTGAGCGGGGAGCCGGGCGTGGGTGTACACTCTGTCCTCCCAGCCCTCGGGAGGCTGAAGCAGGAGGATCACCGCGAGTTCAAGCCCAGCCTGAACCAAGCAGCGAGCCCTTGTCTCAAAAAAAAAGCAGTGCACTTGCCCCTCATCCCGGGGCTACTTGGTGAAAGGCTGAAACAGCGCTTTGGGTTTGGGAGTTTTTGAGACAGGGTCTTACTGTGTAGCCCACGCAGGTATTGAACTTGTGGTGAACCAGACTGTCGTGACCTGGTCATGACCCGGTCAACCAGGCTTGGTGGCACAGACCTGTCATGCCAGCTCCAGAGGCTGAGGCAGGAGGATCGCCGCAAGTTCAAGGCCAGCCTGGGCTAAGACAGCCAGCGCCCCGCTCCGGACCTCCGGTTCCCTGAGGTCGCTCCCGTCCACAGGAAAGGGGCCTGGAGAGCTCCCTGCAGGCCAGCGAGCAGCAGCACCAGATGCAGCGGCACGACCTGGAGGTGGTGATCGCGGGGCTGGAGACGGAGCTGCAGGACGTGCGGCGCGGCATCGAGAGGCAGCTGCGGGAGCACGAGCTGCTGCTCAACACGAAGATGCGGCTGGAGCAGGAAATCGCCACGTACCGCCGCCTGCTGGAGCGCGAGGAAATCAGGTGCGGGGAGGCGCACACGCGGGCTCTGGCCCCCGACGCTTCCTGCTCCTCAGGCGGGGACACGCGGCGGCCGGGCTTGGTGGCAGGTGACTGATCTCACTGCGACCCTCCTGCCTCAGCCTCATGAGTGCGGGGTTTAGCCTCTCTCATGGCTGCTTCTCTCTTTTAAGATTGGTCTTTGGGGGGGGGGGGGGGCTGGTGAGATGGCTCAGTGGTCTAAAGCACCTACTTAGAACAAGCTTAGCAAAGCACAGGGACCGCGGTTCAATCCCCCAGCACCACAAGCCAGCTGCCCCGCCCCCTGGTGGGCTGAGCTGGCCACACACACACACACACACACACACACAAATACACACACATAAATAAAAAAATTTAAAAAAAAATTTAAAAAAAAAAGATTGGTCTTTGCTTTCTATAGACCAGCCACGAAGATAACTGGGAAGACCCACGTATTACCGCCAGAATCCCATGCTCAGGGCCCGCCCACCACACGTAGGATGTGAAAATTAATAATGATAGATGAACAAGCCACAACCAAGCAGAGTAATAAAGACAGTTCTGAGTTCATTTAGAAGCCTTCCAAGCTGGGTGTGGTGGCGCACACCTGTGAACCCAGCACTCAGGAAGCCGAGGCAGGAGGGTCACGGCAAATGTCAGGCCAGCCTGGGTTATATAGTGAGTTCAAGCCCAGCCCAGATTATATCAAGACTATGTCTCAAAAAAAAAAAAAAAAAAAAGACTTCAGGATGTTCCAATGGAAAAAGGTATTCAAATGGGAAATCTTATTTTTTCATATAGTATCAACATTGGCAATCCCTTCTGAAGTTGTATAGCTTTGAAAATGGTGCAGCCATTTTACATTCTTGTAAAAAGAAATCTTTGTTCTTTTTTTAAAAAATGTATTTAAGTACAGGGTCTTATAGGATCTCACTCCACAGACCAGACTCGTACTGATCCTCCTGTTTTCAGCCTCCCAAGTGCTGGGATTACAGGTGCGTCCCACCAAACCGTCTCATTCCCAGTCTCAGCTCACCCTGGGGACAGGGCCGGCACGACACACCGGGATTGAACCTCAGTCCCTGCATCTGCCTAAGCAGGTGCTTTATTCCGCTGAGCTATCTGGCCAGCCCCAAACCTTTGTTCTTGCTTGTTTCAGAATTATGGGTCCTTTAAGAAACCACTCTAGGGCTGGAGAGATGGCTCAGTGGTCTAAAGCACCTACTTGAAACAAGCTTGGCAAAGCACAGGGACCTCGGTTCGATCCTCCAGCACCACATGCCAG